GTACTGCAGACTTCCAGTGTCGATATGTATTGACATCCCAAGTGAGGAGCAACGGTTCCCAGCAAGATTTCGCTTATCCCCATGAAGTCTATTTCTTTGCATTGCATATAGTTATCACTGCATAACATTGCATCCTCAAAAGCGCGTAGCCGATCCATCAGAGTGGATCTTTGCAGAAAAAGAAATTCAAACATGTATATGAAGCATAAGCCATATTAGGTACCTTACACAAAAGACTTAAATAATTCAAGGGTAATAATACATCCCCACAAGAGGATATCATTCCCAAAATCCCCAGTCGATGACCTTCATCTTTTCAATGTCCAAAAAAATCAATACACCAAGTCTAAACCCAACACTCGTCTGTGTAAGTTTCCTAAACACCCATTCATATTGATTCAAACACTCGTCTGTGTTTAAACTTCTTGATACTCATCCATATCTTCTTTCAATACTCGTCCGTATTGACCCAAACACTCATCCGTGTTTAAACTTTTGATACTCATCCGTATCTTCTTTCAATACTCGTCTGTATTGATTCAAACACTCGTCCGTGTTTATCCTTTTGATACGCGTCTGTATCTTCTTTCAATACTCGTCTGTATTGATTCAAACACTCATACGTGTTTAACCTTCTGATACTCGTCCATATCTTCTTTCAATACTCGTCCGTATTGATTCAAACACTCTTCCATGTTTAACCTTTTGATACTCGTCCGTATCTTCTTTCAATACTCGCCCATATTGATTCAAACACTCGTTCGTGTTTAAACTTTTGATACTCGTCTGTATCTTCTTTCAATACTCGTCCGTATTGATTCAAACACACGTCCGTGTTTAACCTTTTGATACTCATCTATATCTTCTTTCAATACTCGTCTGTATTGATTCAAACACTCGTCAGTGTTTAACCTTCAGATACTCGTCCATATCTTCTTTCAATACTCGTCCGTATTGATTCAAACACTCGTTCTTGTTTAAGCTTTTGATACTCGTTCGTATCTTCTTTCAATACTCATCCGTGTTGATTCAAACACTCGTCCATGTTTAACCTTTTGATAATTGTCCCTATCTTATTTCAATACTCGTTCGTATTGATTCAAACACTCGTCCGTGTTTAACATTTTGATACTCATCTGTATCTTCTTTCGATACTCGTCTATATTGATTCAAACACTCGTCCGTGTTTAACCTTTTGATACTCATCCGTATCTTTTTTCAATACTCTTCCGTATTGATTCAAACACTCGTCCGTGTTTAACCTTTTGATACTCGTCTGTATCTTCTTTCAGTACTCGTCTGTATTAATTCAAACATTCGTCCATGTTTAACCTTTTTATACTCGTCCGTATCTTCTTTCAATACTCGTCCATATTGATTCAAACACTCGTCCGTGTTTAACTTTTTGATACTCGTCCATATCTTCTTTCAATACTTGTCCCTATTGATTCAAACACTCGTCCGTGTTTAACCTTTTGATACTCGTCCGTATCTTCTTTCAATACTCATCCGTATTGATTCAAACACTCGTCCGTGTTTAACATTTTGATACTCGTCCGTATCTTCTTTCAATACTCTTCCGTATTGATTCAAACACTCATCCATGTTTAACCTTTTGATACTCATCTGTATCTTCTTTCAATACTCGTCCGTATTGATTCATACACTCGTCCGAGTTTAACCTTTTGATACCCGTCTGTATCTTCTTTCAATACTCGTCCGTATTGATTCAAACACTCGTCCGTGTTTAACCTTTCTTGATACTCGTCTGTATCTTCTTTTGATACTCGTTTGTATCGATCCAAACACTCGTTTGTGTTATACCTTCCTTGTATTGGCATCATGCTACATTACAAGCCAGATCCCTTCCTTGTATTGGCATCATACTACGTTACAAGCCAGATCCCTTCCTTGTATTAGCATCATGCTACGTTACAAGCCAGATCCCTTCCTTGTATTGGCATCATGCTATGTTACAAGCCAGATCCCTTCCTTGTTTTGGCATCAAGCTACATTACAAGTTCGATCTTTTCCTTGTATTGGCATCACGCTACGTTACAAGTCCGGTCTCTTCCTTGTATTGGAATGACGCTATGTTACAGGTCCGACCTCTTCCTTGTATTGGCATCATGCTACGTTACAAGTATGATCTCTTCCTTGTATTGGCATGACACTATGTTACAAGTCCGACCCTTTCCTTGTATTGGCATCATGCTACGTTACAAGTCCGATCTCTTCCTTGTATTGGCGTGACACTATGTTACAAGTTTGATCCCTTCCTTGTATTGGTACCACACCATGTTATAAGTCTTATTTGTCCTTGTGTTTACATCATGCTACCTTCTAACACTCATCGTGTCGGCTTCTAAACACCTGTCGGGTCACCCTTCTAAGTACTCGTCGTTTCATCTCCGGACAATCATTGTGTCAAGTTCTAAACACTTGTCGTGTCACCTTCCAATCTCCGTCTCTTCACTAGAAAAAGGAAAAATTCTTTCCCCAGCAGATAAAAAAAAACAAAGATAAATAAACACTCACACTTTCTCCCAGAACAAATTTTTGGAATTGGTATTTAATCATCTTCTACCTCGAACTTCCGAGAGGCACACACCAATTGTACTTTCAGGTTTAAGATGATTAAATAGGGGCAGATGTAATACCCCAAATTTGTCCTACCCTGTCACTTTTATCTGGCTTATGCATCTCGCACTTTCCTCATGTATATAACCCCTATTAGGTCATCTAACACATCATTCATTCATTAATCGATAAAATATGGCATGGGGTCCAGGGTGTTGAGGGATTAGAGTTGGTTTTCAATGGGAATTTCCTCCTTTATCAAGAGACTCATTTTCATCAAAAGACAAAGTCATTCCTCCAGGTTACTTTAGGGTTGAAAGAGTTAGGGTTTACTTCCATAATTGTGTAGGCTTGAAGAAGGATTCCATGTGGATTTGTTCATTAATAAATTTCAAAGGGGTTTTATCAATACTTTAGGTGCAAGCTATCAGAGATGTTGGTATGGTTATTGTAAGCTAGAGTCTAGTGAGTTTCCTTCATCTAAGAAAATTCAATTGATATTTGGACCACATGGCTTTAGGTATGGATATCGTACCAAAATAAGGGTATTCAAGAGCTCTAGGTGCAAGCATTGAGTTAGAGGCTATTTGTATTCAATTATGGCATGAGTGGATATTCGATTTAATGTGAGAACATGGTCGTAAGGTGAATTCAAGATACAAGGATAACACCATTTTAACTAAAAGAAGGTTCAAAGCCATTTCTTTGGATTATTCATCATGAAAGTAAAAGAAGTTTCAAAGCCATTTCTATGGATTACTCATCATGAAAGTGAAAGAAACTTCTTTACAAATAAAAAGAATCCATATTTCATGCTTCATTCAAAGATCACACCATTTCAAAAGGGATAAATAAAAGAAATTCAATTTGGAAAGAGTTATTCTTGAAGAGTTTATCATTTTCATTAAAAAATTCAAAAGGGCAATGATATTGAAAAAGTTACACTCATTAACTCAAGTGAGCAATCTCGTTTCAAAATTCTTAAGCCATTACAAGGTTACAATACCAAACCACATTACATCACCATGCTTCAAGATTAAAAACATCATCACCATTTCAAGAATACACTACATGGAAACTTTTACACTAAACTCGTGCTATTCTTAAGCCTTCATTCCTTAAACCAATCCTCCATCATTCTCCATGTTATGTCAAAAGTTTCTCCATGCCTTCACAAACCTTCAACTGTTTCCAGACTTGGTCCACTAATCTTGTCTTCATATCTCCATAACATATTTAAATGATCCATGGCCGAGCTTCGATATTAACTTCATGTTGCACTTTTCTTTCCGAGTTTGCCTCACACCTTCATTAACTTCAAGCGACCTTTGCATTAGGTTCCAGCTTCAACCATGTTTGTGCCATGCCTAGACCATACCTTAATTCTATACTTGAAAACCTGAAAAACAACGATTCGACATCATCAACAATCATGTACAAAATTCATTCACAAAACCAGTATAAGACATTTTAAAACATTACTTCAATCAAACCATAAACCTTCCCTGCATACACCATAAAATCAGTCCAAATGAAAACCTGTATCTGTTTAACATAATTCCCTAACTGCACTAACTATGAACATAACTTTTTCCAACTTCTAACCAACCTAACCATAATCTCCAACAGCCTCTAACAAAAACTCAACAGTTTCCTAACTTCCTGTAACAGCCCTGCATAACCGAATCCTAACTAACTCTTCTAACAATCCCCCAACCCTCTAACTGTCAAAAACAGAATCATAACAGAAATTTCCAACTAACTGTCAAAGCAACCCCTAACAGTATCCATCAAACCTGTAACTAACATCTCAACAAACCAACAAAAACCCATAAGAGAAAAGGAAGAAGAGAGAAGCAGGATTGGAGAGAACAAAATCATAACAGAAAATTGACAAACTAAAGACTCACCTTTCCATTCTCTCTTCAATTCTATGTTCCGTAATCTTCATGTTTGAACCTTCATCGTGTTTCACCTTCAAGCCTCATCTTCATTTTCAAGCCTGGTTCCATTTTATCTCTCTGCAAAACCTTCATCTCCACCTTCTCTAAAAAACCTCTGAAAAGATCCTTCTGTGACCGAAGCTTCTATCCCCGTCAATAACTTCGACTCTCTGCACAATCTTTGTCAATCTCATTCAAGCCTTCAACGCATCATTGCCATAACTCCCGGCATCCGCAACAACATCAACGTGCCACTTCCATCATCAACAATATCGAAATCGTAGCATCAACATGCATCACCAAACACACAAAAAGTAGAAGAAAAGAAGAGAATGAAGAGGTCGTACCAGCAACCATACCTGAGCCATTTCTGAAAGAATCTCAGGATTTCTGGTTTGCTGTCTTCATCGGTGTGAATGCCATCACAACGACTCTGATCGGTAGGTATCAAATCTTCGTTTATCATCATATATGCATTTAACATTCTGATGTGATTACGATCAAATCTTGTGAGTTGAGATGAATAAGAAACAACTGCCTTATGTTTCGATCGGATAAGAAGAGAGTCGCACTGTCTGAAGCAAAGTGGAGGGGAGAGCGAGACGGTCGAATCGAGTTCGTTAACGGTGAGAGGGAGGACGGCGAAGAAGAGATGAAGGCAAATCTGTAGGCCGTAATAGCCATCGAGTACCAGCCTCCTTTGGTGCGGAGGTACCTTTGTCTAAATTCTCGCCGAAGCTTAACGAAGAAAGAGGGGAGATCAATTAGGTTTAGGTTCAGCTGAAGGGACATAAGCCTTTGGTCAGAACGACACCGTATGGGAATCTCTTTCCACTTTTTCTTTATTCATTGATAATATATGAATGGGACTTGGATGTTGATTGCACTTGGTGTGGGTCGAACCACATACTTCTTGGCCTATGGCAATTTGTTTTTGAAGCCTGAAGAGGATTCCAACAAAAACTAGTATTGTGGACTTTTTGCTATTGGGATTGGTGCTTCCGTCAGCTTGTTACACAACACTATTGTCTACATAATCACCCCCACGAGCTTATTATTTCTTTGTTAGGTTTAGGACTTTTTATTTGTTAATTTTTCGTATGACAAAATGGTAAAATCAATAAAGTTTATTTGATCTCCTTAGTTGATTTTAGAAATTAACTCTTTATTTTTCGATAGAATTTTTCCTTACATAAAAAACTAATAAAAATACTTTTTCTTTTAGTTCTTATTCATATTTTACACCGTTTTGCCTCGTTATTCTTGACGCGTTTATTCATTGTGCAAGGTACATTTTTGATGTTTTCGATCATGTAACATAACAAGTTGTTATGTGATCGAAGCATATGGCTTATGCTCGCTTCTGATACGACGCGCTTTATTTCTCATCGACCTGAGAAATTTATATCATATTATATGTTGCCCTGATACATGTGATATTTTGTGATACTTTGCACATGAACTTCTAATTATGCATCACATTTGTAACATGTGTTTACCTTTATCTTAGTTGGATATTGTTTCTGACTCTGTTTGTTTCTTGGTGAAGCTTGCTCAACGCGTGCTCCCTGCTTCTTCGGTGCTTTCGTCTGCTCTTGACGATTTTCTCGCTTTGGTAGTCATAGTCACTACCTTCGTATTTCTTCGCGCTTTATTATGCTTACTTACTGCTTTTCTAGATACCATGAGAAGTAGGAAATAAAGAGTGTGCGCTCGAAGTCGCTGTTTAAAGACCTGTAGCAGGCATTCCACATTTCATTTGCTATATGTGTTGTACTTGTGTTTGTTTCTTTGGTTGTTGATCAATGAGTCACTCAATTTATAAATTAAGATCACGAATTCGCTCTCAGTGCATGCTCCCTATAGGATTTTATCGCTTTCCTTTATTTCTTGTTGATCGACGAGTCACTCAATTTAGAAATTGAGATCCCGACTTCACTCTCATTGCATGTTCCCTATATGATGGTTTTGTTAGACTTTCTTTGGCATGCTAACCTAGGTAGGATCTCTCTAGGTGTGCTCTCTTGAGTTTACTGGCTTGATTGCTTTATCCTTGTACATACCACGTTCCCTTAGGATGCGCTTGCTCTGTTCGGATGCAAGTTAGACCTTAGGCTGCAAACCATGCATGCTAACATTAGGTAGAAACTTCCCCTTTCATCCTTGACGTAGGAATACCATTGTATGATAACATTAGGTTAGAAATAGTTTAGACTCCCTTAGACTCTTTTCTTCCCCTTTTTGCATCTTTGCATCTAAAACAGAAATCTTTTTCCTAGCAAATCAAAAACATGTTAATCACACTTAAACCCTTTTTCAAGGTAACAAAAACACAAACCAATTCAAATCATTTTGTACGCTCGAGCAACTTTTCTCTAAAACCCTTCTCAGGTAAGGACATGATTAATTTACTTCTATGCCAACGCATAAGTCTCCAAAGGTCGAGCTGCGACAGAAGGCAGAATTAACATTCTCCATTAAAAAACACAAACAAACAAAACATATGAGCCGAACTACGGTAGCTCTGATTCCTCAAAAAGGATATGTAGGCATTGGGGTAGGGCCCAAGTGAGCATAATTTTATTTTCCCTACATTCTTTTCTCCTTTATTTTGTATGCATTCCCCTTCCAGTTGTATAGTAAATAGTAAGCATAGATTAAACACACCCATAAGATAGATAACAAGAGTGGATACTGTAGAGTACTACGGGCGTGTGGGGTGCTAATACCTTTCCCTCGCGTAACATACCCCCTTACCTGATCTCTCGGTTGCAAGACCGCGACTTCTCCCTTCTCAGGTTTTCTCGATGTTTAACTTTCCCTACATGTGGGATAAAAGACGTTCGATGGCGACTTCATTGTTTGATGATTTTCAGACGGTTGTTTCAACTACAACGTGTGAACCAATCTTCAAGTTGTTAAATAAAGATCAAGGTTGTGTATGGATGGACGATTTTCAAAGGGAATTTGAAAGCATTAAAGAGTATTTTCTTGAACCTCCTATCTTGCTCCCTCCTATTGAAGGAAGACCATTGATTATGTATCTGACTGTGTTAGATAATTCCATGAGTTGTATTTTGGGACAACAAGATGAAACAGGAAGAAAAGAATATTCCATTTATTATTTGAGCAAGAAATTCACTGACTGTGAGTCACAATATTCTATACTAGAAAAAACATGTTGTGATTTTTCCTGGGTGGCAAAGCAATTACGGTAATATATATGTTGAGTCATACTACTTGGTTGATTTCCAAAATGGACCAAATAAAGTATATTTTTGAAAAGCCTTCTCTTACTGGAAGAATTTACCATTGGAAGATGTTGTTGCCTAAATATGATATTAAATACCGTACTCATAAGGCTATTAAAGGCAATGTATTAGCAGCATACCTTGCTCACCAACCAGTTGACAATTATCAGTCTGCTAAATACATTTTCCATGATGAGGATGTGATGTATTTGAAAGTTAAAGATTGTGATGAGCCTTTTCCTGAGGAAGGTCATGATCCTGAATCCCGATGGGGTATGGTGTTTGATGGGGCTGTAAATGCTTATGGAAAATGAATTGGTGTTGTGATCATCACTCCCCATGGGTCACATATCCATTTTACTACATGGTTGGCATTTGACTGTACCAATAACATGGCAGAATATGAAGCTTGTATCATGGTTCTTGAAGAGGCTATAGATCTCTGAATCAAAATTCTTAACGTATAGGGTGATTCAACATTGGTAATAAATTAGATCAAAGGAGAATGGGAGACTCGTCACATTGGCTTGATTCCTTACAAAGACTATGAAAGAATATTATTACCTTTCTTCAATAAAGTTGAGTTCTATCATATTCCCAGAGATGAGAATCATATGGAAGATGCTTTAGCCGCTTTGGCTTCCAAGTACCAAGTAAATGCTTGGAACAATGTATCTCAGATTACAGTTCTACGTCTCTATAGACCAACTCATGTGTTTGCTACAGAGGAGACGTCAGATGAAAAACCTTGGTATTATGATATTAAACACTTCCTTCAGACTCAAGAATACCCGGTTGGTGTGTCGAATAAAGATAGAAAGACATTGAGAAGGTTGGCGGGTAGCTTTTTCCTCAACAAAGATTTGTTATACAAGAGAAATCATGACATGGTCTTGCTCAGATGCGTGGATAGACACGAAGCAGACATGTTGATGCATGAGATCCATGAAGGTTCCTTTGGTATCCATGCCAATGGACATTCGATGGAAAAGTAGATGCTTAGCGCAGGCTACTATTGGCTGACAATGAAATCTGACTGTTACAAATTTGTGAAGAAGTGCCATAAGTGTCAGATCTATGCTAATTAGATTCATGTGCCTCTAACGCTTCTCAATGTTATTTCTTCCCTGCGGCCTTTTTATATGTGAGGTATTTATATGATTGGAATGATTGAACCCAAGGCGTCGAATCAACGTTGTTTCATCTTAGTGGCAATTGACTACTTTACCAAGTGGGTAGAAGCAACTTCCTATGATAATTTCACCAAGCAGGTGGTAGTAGGTTTTATCAAGAACAATCTTATATGTCGAATGTGTGCAAAGAGGGATTATCCCCGACAACGGTTCAAATATGAATAAAAAAATGATGATAGAACTTTATGAAGAATTTAAGATTGTCCATCACAATTCGCCTCCTTACAAGCCCAGGATGAATGGAGTTGTTGAAGCTGCTTATAAAAACATTTAGAAGATCATCCAAAAAATGGTTGTTACCTATAAGGATTTGCATGAGATGCTCCCTTTTTCTTTGAATGGGTATCGTACATCCGTCCATACTTCAACAGGGGCAACCCCGTTCTCTCTTGTGTATGGCATGGAAGCAGTGCTCCCCGTCAAGGTTGAGATTCCCTCTTTGTGTTTAATAATGGAAACCAAATTTTCAGAGGCTGAATGGGTCCAGAACAGGTTTGATCAGTTGAATTTAATTGAAGAAAAGAGAATAACTGCCTTGTGTCATGATCAGTTATATCAGAAAAGAATGAAGAAAGCTTTTGATAAGAAGATTAAACCTCGTGAATTCAGAGAAGGCGACCTCGTGATAAAAAAGATCATGTCTTTTAACATTTATCCTAGGGGCAAGTGGACTCCAAATTATGAAGGCCCATATGTTGTCAAGAAAGCCTTCTCTGGTGGTGCATTGATTCTTGAAACTATGGATGGAGAAGAGTTCCCACGTCCTATGAATTCTGATGCAGTCAAGAAATACTTTGCCTAAATAAATAAAAGAACAACTCACTAAGCTGAAAACCTGAAAGGGAGGCTTAGGCAAAAAAGAGCGTCTCGGTAGGCTGAAAGTCTAAAATGGCGATCTAGGCAAACGTTAGAGACACAAATAGAATAAATTTTCATGGTAGGTTGAAAACCCGTGAGGACAACCTAGGAAAAGTTGTTAGGGAGAATAGTGGTCATTATATCTCAATGTATATTTTCCATGTATTTACCATTTTCTAAACTTTGTAATCATCCATGGAGTCATGCCATTTGCGGGCTACCATTCTATTAATAAAGTTTGAGCTTTTATCCAATTATTTGTAGTTCTTATGTTATTTTGTTTACAAAAATTTCACTTATTATTGATAGTAATTTTCAAAACAAAAGGACTTAATAATAAAAATGTTTTTGAAAAGAATTCACATATTACTTTTTACTTTAGATTTTGTGATTCAAGTGGAACAAAAGTAGTGATTCCAAGGATGGACGAACTTCAAAGTTTTGAAAAGGTTCCCCAAGAGGTATCCGGAGATTATTCTCGTTTATGTGC